GGAGTTACAAACTTCATTACCTTTTTTTCCATGAAGCTAACTTTATGAGGTAATTTTTCATTCAAATCTCAATGGTTTTTGGCCATTCACAATAGATGGTTGGGACCCACTTTAATCTTTAATTAAAGTCACCAAAAAAAAAAACCATTTTTCCAACATAAACTATTAGTAGCCAAACAGAAAATATTATACCTTGGGCGACTAAAATTTTAATAGCTAAACAATTTAAGTTTTGGCAACAAAAAATATTAGTCGCTGAAAAAAGCTTTTGGCGACTAAACTATTAGTAGCCAAAAGAGCAAATATTATACCTTAGGTGACTAAACTATTAGTAGCTAAACAATTTAAGTTTTGGCCACAAAAAATATTAGTTGCTGAAAATGTTATGTTAAATTCAATTGAAACTATTAGTCGCCAATTGTATGCTTTTAGCGACTAAATCTTTTTTGGTCGCCAATTACTTTCCTTGACAATCTTTCAATGACAAAGCTGGTGACCATAAAATTTAGTCGGCAAAAGGTTTTGGTGACCAAAATTTGACTTTTGGTGACTAAAAATTTAGTCGTTAAAAGTGTCTTTTGTTGTAGTGATTATGAGTTAGATGTGACATTTTATCTTATTGATTATTTATGCTATTTTGGCGCAATCCTCTTCCCAAAAGCTCTTCCCAAAAGTAAAAAAGGATGAAAATTATGATGTTATCCCTGAAGCTTAAAATATTATAACAACTAAGCATTGTCTTTGCAAGTAAGTATTTGATTCGTGTAAAAAAGAAAGATGATGATAGAAGATAATGATGGGCTGCTGTTTCATTTCTAAAAGACTGCTAGGGAAATCAAAATCCACTACCATTATGAAAGATATTTTTTTTTTTTTAATCACTGTTGATGTTAATCTAACCAACCAAATTAAATCAAAACCAAGCCTTAAGTCCCATCAAATGGGATCGGCTACACTGTTAATGTTAATCTATTAAATTAAATTAAATTTATTTGAGATACAGCATCAAAATTTTGTTTGAGAATTCATTCTTCTAGAAGTCGTTTGATCTATTGTGATTTCAAAGGGTTTATTCATCCAAAAATATCTTGGCGTAATGCAGCTCTGCAAAAGAGCATTTTAACAAACATCTAAGGTGCATTTTAACAAACATATTACAATGAATCTTGTGGCTTGGTTTTTGGATATTTCAAAAGAAAAAAAAATTTCAAATGAATAATGTTAGAGATATTAAATTTTCTATCAAATAAATGACCAAATATTTCACATAGTTGTAAGGTGATTCCTGGTGAGAGTCTGGTCTCTCAAAATAGGATTTTGGTACTAGATTTATATTTTAGAGGGCAATACCAAGTTAGGAAGGATGGTGGGTGTCGTAGGACAAGATGGTGGGACTTAAAAGGGGATAAACTAGAAATATTTAAGAATCGAATGGATAAGGAAGGTACTTGGGACTTAGAAGGTGATGCTAACACTATGTGGAATTAGATGGCCAATTGTATGAGGAGAATCTCAAGGGAAGTGCTTGGAGAGTTGAAAGGAACGGGACCCAGCTCTAGGGAAACTTGGTGGTGGAGGGAAGAGGTCCAAGCGGTAGTTAAGGCAAAAAAAGAGTGCTTTAAAAAGTGGCGGAATGATAGAACTTGGAAAACCTTAAGAGCTATAGATTGGCTAATAAGGAGGTCAAAAAAGTAGTGAGAGAGACACTAAGTTGAAAGTTTATGATGACCTATACACTAGACTAAATAGTAAGGAGGGAGAGAAGATGGTATACAAACTTGCTAAGATACGGGAGAGGAAAACAAGAGATTTTAATCAAGTAAAGTGCATCAAGAGTGAGGATTCTAAGGTATTGGTGAAGGATGATGAGATTAAGGAAAGATGGAAGAATTATTTTGAGAAATTGTTAAATGAGGAACATGGAAGTACGACAATAAGGGAAGAAATAATCAGTAATACGATAAACCAAGACTATAGGTTCTATCGCAGGATTAGGAATTTTGAAGTAGAGATTGCACTTAAGAAGATGAAATCAAATAAGGCTTTAGGACCTGATGATATCCCTATTGAAGCTTGGAAGTGTTTGGGTAAAAAGGGAGTTGCTTGGTTGACTAGGTTGTTTAGCAAAATTTTGTTGACTAGGAACATGCCAGATAAGTGGAGGAAGAGTATTTTAGTCCTAATCTATAAGAATAAAGGTGATGTCCAGAATTATAACAACTATAGAGGAATTAAGCTAATGTGTCATATAATGAAAGTGTGGGAGAAGGTGATGGAACGCCGATTGCAAGACATAACAGAGGTGTCAGAGAATCAATTTGGGTTTATGCCTGGTAGGTCAACAATGGAAGTGATCTATCTTTTGAGGAGAGTTATAGAAAAATATAAAGAAAAAAAAAGAGACATTCATATGGTGTTTATCGACCTCGAGAAAGCATATGACAGAGTGTCCCGAGATATAATATGGTGGGCGTTAGAGAAGAAAGGGGTGACAAAAGGCTACATTGACGTGATTAGGGACATGTATGAAGGGGTGGTGACCACTATTAGATCGCCAGCTGGAGAAACAAATGAATTTTCTATCACTGTAGGGTTACACCAAGGATCTACCTTAAGTCCTTATCTTTTTGCTTTAGTTATGGACGAGTTGACGATAAATATTCAGGATGACGTGCCATGGTGTATACTTTTTGCAGACGATATTGTGTTCGTGGATGAGACTAGAGAAGGAGTTAACACAAAGTTGGAGATTTGGAGAAAAGCTCTTGAATCTAAAGGATTTCGGATAAGCAGAACTAAGACATAGTATATGGAGTGTAAATTTAGGGTCGATTATCACAATAGCGGGAGAGATTGATGCAGATGTGGCCCATAGGATTAAGGCGGGATGGTGTAAGTGGAGAAGTGCGTCTGGGGTATTGTGCGATAAACGAATACCCACTAGACTAAAAGGTAAGTTCTATAGAACAGCTATTAGACCAGTTATGTTGTATTGGACGGAGTTTTGGGCAACCAAAAAACAACATGTAGATAAGATGAGTGTGGCTGAGATGAGGATGCTAAGGTGGATGTGTGGTAAGACTAGACAGGACAGGATTAGGAATGAGTGTATTCGGGAATGGGTAGGAGTAGCACCGATAGAAGATAAGTTCAGAGAAAATCGTTTGAGATGGTTTGGTCATATTTAATGGAGACCAACAGAGGCAGTAGTGAAGAGATGCAATGCTGTAACGATATATGGAAGTGTTAGGGGACGGGGTAGGCCTAGATTAACGTTGACTAGCGTTATAAATAGATATATGAATCTACTTAATTTGACTAATGAAATGGCCTTTGATAGGGCCGCGTGGACAAGAAGGATTCATGTAGCCGACCCCATTTGATGGGACTTAAGGCTTGGTTTGGTTTAGTTGTGGAGTGCAATTTTATGAATCCTATAGACATTTAGTCATTTATTTGATATAAAATTTGAAATCTCAAATTGTTTTCCTGAATTTTCTCGAGAACCAAACATTTGGAACTATCCTCTTTGGAAAATAAAATAAATAAATAACGAAATTGAAACAGACACAATACGTCGTCGTGGCATGGTGGGACATCACATCGCCTTTCTTAGTTGGGTTTGGGGTGCAGATGGACCTATGACCCGGACCTGTTCAAGCTTGTTCATGGTTTATAGGACTTGATCCAATTGAATAAATTGGTCAAACCCAATTGCAATATGATCCAGACTAGAGATTATTGCGTCCTGTCTCACAAAGGACCATTTGAAAAGTTAATTAAAATTAACTTTTAATTTTTAATTTATTTTGGGTCTCAGTTGTTTGCTTCTAGTTTTCATAAAATAGTTTTTAGAATTTTTTTATTTTTATTTTTCATATTTTAATGTTTTCAATGAATTTTTTTAATGTTTTAAGCAAATTTTTTTTAAAAAATTTTTAGATGCACCTAACATAAACACACTTAAAAAAATATAATATTTGTGCATTTTTTTTTTCAAAATACACTAAATACCAAAAAATATAAAAAATACCAAAATTTAGTACATTTTCGTATTTTTGTGTATTTATTAATTTTTTAAAATATTTTTTCACAAATATTTTACTATTTAGATACATCTAAGTAAAGTGCATTTAAAAAAGTAAAAAAATTACTTAAAATTTAAAAAATATTCACTAAAAACAAAAAAAAACACGAAAAATAAAAACTCGGTTTCTAAAAAATTGAATACAGAAAACTGAAAGTAAACACACTGATTACTTTTTTTATTTTTCACACATAAAAAGACAAAAAAGACAAAAATAAAAAATAAAAAAGTCAACTTTTAACTTATTTTCCAAATCACCCCAAACTATATTATATATAATTACCTTTTTATAAATATATGTGTAAAGATTTTTGATAAAAAAATTATCAGTTTCAATTTTTTTTCTTTTATAAAAATGACAAGTTAAAAAGTTTTTATTTTTATTTTTAAAAAATATCAAAATTTTATTTGACAATTTGTTTCCGTTTAAAAAAAAGAAGATAAATTATAAATACATTCTCTAGAATTTGTTTAAAATACGAATTAACTTAAGTAATTTTAAAAATTACATTATGCCTTTTTTAATTTTTAATTGCATAACAAATGACCCATTTTATTAATAAATCATTAAATTAATTGACCGTTTTTAATGATATTAAAAATATATTTCAATTATTAATAATTTTTTAAATTTTATTATTGTTTTAAGAGAGTAGTTGCAAATTTTATTTTTTCTGTTAATTTTGTTAAATAAAAAATTATAATATTTTCCATAACTACATAGAACAATTTGTGTATATTTATAATTTACTCAAAAAAAAAAAAAACTATAAAACTATTTTTGAAGGAAAAGTTGCTTTGCTTAAATTTTTTTTGACACAAAAATAAAAAATAATATAAAAAAGGCGGGTTTTATTTGGGTTGCAAAACTAAACTTATGATATAAATTCGCAAATAAGATACGTGGAGGGACTAAAAAGCAATTATCCAAACACCTTCTCTGCCACTTTACAAGACCTATTCGCTTGGTTCATTACAGAGCCTCGATTTCTCTGTCGGTTGCTCGCTCGCTTCGACTCGTTTCCATTGAGAGCTTAACAGTCCATTATTGTAAGTATCCAAATGCATATATATATATATATATATATATTCACATGCGTTTCATTTTCAAACTCATATTCCATTTACATTGTTTAGTTTTTTTGTGTAATTTGATTATGCTTATTTTCGTGTTCGCATTTGTGTTCTAGGGTTTAATATTATCGCTGTATGATACATGTATATGCTATTTAGCGTTAATGGGTTTATATTATGTGGAATTGTGGATTCTAGGGTTTTGCTGATTGCTTTTTTGGTCGTTTATTTTTCTAGGGTTTTGGTTTTTCCGTTAGGCTTTCAGTCTTTTGGGCGCAAGCTTCTTTGAAATTTTATGTTAATCTTGTAGGTTCTTGAGAAAAGTTTGGTGAGTTTGGTTGCTGAGAAAAGGTTTGTGAAAACCAGAAATATGTTGTTGAGCCTTAGATATTTTACCACTTGTTGGTGTCTGATATACAAAAATAATGCAAATAATAGTCCATTGTTTTATTTGATTTTTTTCCCCCTAGTTTTGTTGGCAACATTGATTCTTAGTTGACTAACTCTGCCTAACAAAAAAAATCCGGATAAGTTTACTCCATCTAACTTTCAAATAACAATAAAATAAAATTAAAAAAAAAAACACATAAACAAAGCGTATTTGAGATGATAGAATAGTCCCCTAGTTTTGTTGGCAACATCGATTTTTAGTTGACTAACTCTGCCTACCAAAAAAATCCAGAAAAATTTACTCCATCTTACTTTCAAATAACAAGAAAATAAAATTTTAAAAAAAACACATAAACAAAGCGTATTTGAGATGATAGAATAGGTAAAAGTGGACTCACTGTCTGATTGGGACAATTCTGAATAGTTTTATGGCTACTTTTTTTTTTCTTCTTCTTTTTTGGTTTATGTAGTTTTAATGGTTTTTTCATTTGATCTTTAAATGGCTTAGTGCCAGTTCTTAGAAGGTGAAGCTGTTTGTGAATATTTTTTTTGTTCCCATAGGAGGCATATTTGCTCTTACTATTTTGATGTTTGGTATTATGCTTATTATTTTCTATTGATTTCTTGTTCAGCAAATGGCTGAGGAAAATTTCAATGAACACGACATGGGTGGTATGCCTGAGAACACAAATCCTCCCGAAATACAAGGATCTGAAAATGATTCAGGAGGAATTGGAGAACCAAAGTGGCCGGGATGGCCTGGAGAGAATGTTTTCAGGATGTTGGTTCCTATACAGAAGGTTGGTGGCATTATAGGCCGCAAGGGGGAGTACATTAAAAAAACCTGTGAGGAGACAAGGGCTCGTATAAAGATTCTTGATGGTCCACCTGGGACTACGGAAAGAACTGTGAGTTTTCCTTATATTACTAGATGATATGTTTAACATGTGGGACTATGATGAGTAAACTGCTACTTTATGTGTGATTAATTTAAGTGTCTTCTTGTTTTGTTTCACTAATAGTCCTTTTGTTGAGTAATACATTCGTGGTTTTATGGATTATTAGTCACTGAATTGTTTCTATCTAATTTGAACCTGGTTTTGATGCAACCAAAAACTAAAGGAGAAAACACACACTTGTGCTCAAATTTGTCAAATACAATTTTGTAATATGTTGCAAATGCCATACTCTCCAGTGCATCTGACTTGGTTAATTTGTTTATCTGATTCTTGTAAATCTTTAGTCATTGCAGTTTTATTTTGTCAAATTTCTCACCAAGCATAATATAGATGCAAGCTGCTTCATATTTATCTTGAAACTATTTTCAGGGACTGGAAACATCATTATTACTAGATGTTTACATTTCACCATTTAAGGAGGTTGTTTCACCATACTTTTAGGATTTTAGCCATTGATTTTGCTGGAACCTTTTGGTGCAGCTGCTATTGCTTGCCATTTTCCAGCTAGAGCTGCTTGGAGAGAGAAGACTAAACATGCATTGTTAAATCTGAACTTAATAGTTAGTTAGAACTGGTTAAGACTTGTAAAAGAGTATCATATCAATTAGTAAAGTTATCAAATAATAAACCATTTTTATCATCCAAGATAAATTGGTTATTAAGAAGGTCAAATTAATATTTAAACAAACAGCAAGAAACAAGGAAGAGAAATATTAACTTTAAACAACAGGAAATATAAGGAAAGTGTGTTCATCACAATAACCAAAATGAATGTGTGCAGGTTCTCCGCAAATCTAAGGCAACATTTCAATCACCAAAGTGCTTCAATTTAGAAGAACAAAGATCCAGATTGCAGGGATCAGCATGAGCATTAGAAGTGCTGAAAAGTTTTTCGGACTTAACTGTCAGAAATTTCATGTGCTGACAGTGGTACCAAGAAGCTGTGCACTATTTCTGGTAACTTCAGAACTTGGTCGATTGGTGTCTTGCCACACATTGCTAAACATTCTACCAAAAAACCCAAAAAAACTCATAATTGACAATAATAAGATGCAGTATTCTTAATAGCATATAAATTTCTACCTTTTTTTAAAGCACAGATTGCCAATTTAGTGTACTGTAACATAGCACGAGTAAGACTTGACCAAAATTTATTACAATTTTTAATATGGAACAATTTTTGGTCCAATCCACTTCGTTATGAGCAACGTAAATTATCCGTTAAGGCTCCAAACTGTCCCTAGAAAATAGCGTGCGCTTCTTTTCGTCGAATTGGAAATTAAGGGTTGGTTTGGGATGTCCTAAAAAAGTGCACTTTTTGACTTATTGGTGGGTTTGGGTTGGGTTTGGGTTGGGTTTGATGTGATGTGTTAGAGAGGTGATGTTATCCGTTAAGGCTCCAAACTGTCCCTAGAAAATAGCGTGCGCTTCTTTTCGTCGAATTGGAAATTAAGTCAGCATGGTTGGTTAAAAGTGATTAAAATGTAATTAACATTTATTAACGCTTACTGATGCATCTGTCTAAAAGATTAAAAGTTTCAAACACGAAGGCTTGTGCATGTCAACTAGTTATACAAGAATAAATATTAAATAAAATATGATACTGTGGACAGAACGGTCTTTTTGTTTCTCTTACCCTTGTTGATTAGTTTACACTCTCAGAGGTTGAATAAGCTGGATGATGTCTTATATTTTAGATTTACTTGTGTAGTTGGTTGCCCGTATCTGATTGTATACTTATGGTAGTTGATTGTGATTTTGTGTTTCCAAAAACTGGTGGTTATGATGTTTACTACCATCCAAACTTTTGTATGGATGATTTGTTAATTATTTAAATTTTATCAAAAGTAATAAATTTTAATATCCAAAATCCACAAAAAGCATTAAAGAAGAGGGGGGAAAATTAGTTGGCTTGTCTTGGCATGTCCTTGGTAGGTCCCCTGAAAATAAATTAATTAAATAAAGGGACACAAACATGTCCCCGCCTTGCTTGAAATACTGCTACAACACCTATTTTAGAGTGTCAGTGCTTCATGGGTTTTTGTTTCCAAAAATGGCAGCAGTTCATAGAATGTCCAAAATTTGTAGAATTAAAAAGGGTGTGTTCACTTGTTTTCTAAACAAGTTTTCATTCCCTTCTCCCTTCCCCACCCCTCCATCAACCCTCACCCTCACCCTGATCACCCCCTCTGGAAACTTGCCAAACATGCCTTTTTTTTTTTTATATAATTAATTAATTAATATTTTATATGTTTTTTAAAAGGATGTGTGTACCAAACATAGATTTATTTTTGGTTTTTGCTAAACAAGGGGGGCAATCCACTTTATGCCCTCATGGTTTGACCATTTTGCACTTCACCTCCTTTACATTTAAAAATAGCCATTATTTGGCCTCACAAGGCTGGTAATTGAAAATGCAATAATACTTTTATACTCTCCCCAATGTAACATTGTCTTCCTCCTTTTGCCACTGTGTAACCAGCACCATTGTATTCAACCACCACACCACCAGATTCAACCAATTCAATAGCATCACTCATCGACTAAACAATACCAGGAATATATACATATATACATGTACCTATATTGATGTACATATACATATAATAAGCAAATTGTGTACACGGACATATACACATATATAGATGTTATATGCAAATATTCCTGGTATTGTATGAATTTCACAAACAGTGGTGGAGAATTTGAGGAACATCTCCTTTGTGTTTCAAGATACATGGGCCATGTTTGGTTTGATTTTCAGAAATTTGTTTGATTTTTTTTTTTTGTTGTAAAAAACTAAAAATTAATTTCGTGAAAAAAATGAAAAAATGAAAAGCAATTATCGTTTTTATGTAGTTTTATCTTTTTGGAGGACAAAAATAAATTTTAAAAATTCAAAAATATATTTTTGATGATTTCTATTTTTTCAGAAAATAGTTTCATAAACACAAACCAAACATGGCCATCATTTTGCATATGAATGTACACTTACACATAAACTCTGCACTTAATGGGGGCACATCTATGAAGAACATGTGTGGAGTTCTTTGGGTGGTCTTCAACTCCTTCTATTGTTACCTTTTCATCCCGGGTTTCACCTAACAGGGACGCTGTTGTGGCAGGCTGGCAGCAACAATGGCAAAGGTGGCCCAGTGTTGGAAAAGTTTTTTGTTGCTAAAGGTCAAGCTCATTTTGGATTTAGACAAGTCATAATGGTGCAGACTAGGATTAGATTGTTGACCCTAGCTGCTTCATATCGATTAACTTGTATGATGTAGATTTAGTTTTATTATTATTATTTTGCAATTTTTACTTAGTTAATGGGTTTAAGATTTAATAAAAGTCGGTTTTAATCCTTATGATACCAACTGAGAATTTTTACTGTTAAAATGTTTGCGTCATGTCCAGTGATTCTTGTTTCGTTTGAATCTGAATACGGAAATTAATTTGGCAATTCTGTTGACGGTAATTTTTGGGAATTTTTGCTCCTTTATTAGGTGATGGTTTCTGCGAAGGAAGAACCAGGTGTCTCTATTCCTCCTGCCATGGATGGTTTACTGAAGGTTCATAAACGTATTATTGATGTAGACAGTGATCCAGCTCATACTCCATCTGGTGCTGGTAGGATAGTTTGCACAAGGCTTCTGGTGGCAGCTACACAAGCTGGAAGCTTGATTGGGAAGCAGGGTGCCACTATAAAGTCTATTCAAGATGCTTCTGGTTGTAACATTCGTGTTCTTGGAGAAGGTTTTTTTCAGATCATTCTTCTGCCTAGTAGTTTTTGTAACTTGCTTGCATGGAACAAACTAGCATTTGTGTCTGTATGATATTTTTCCTGTAGCTCGTGTTGTTTCCCCTTATCAATGTTTTTCTTTTTTGGGACTTACACTAGGGGACTTTTTTACTTTGAAATAAGCTTTTCTTCCTTCCTGCTCCTTGTTTTTAATTGAGAGGAACCTCTTCTCCCCCTTACCACTTTTATTCTAAAATGTTTTCATTTACCTGTCGAGTGGTTTATTGGCTTTTATTGCATGAATAAGAATTAGAGGAGAGACTTTCTTTGGGATAATTGGAATATCATGTGATAGCTCTGAATGATTTGCATGATTAATCTTTTTCAATTTTGAACTCTTTTAGCTTTGATAGTGTATACATTATATATTGATTGGTGCTCCTGTGTTATGAAACAAATTGCTGCAGAAAACATTCCACCTTTTGCTTTGCCAGACGATAGTGTTGTTGAGGTACAAGGGGACCCTGCAGGTGTCCATAAAGCTGTTGAACTGATTGCAACCCATCTCAGGAAATTTTTGGTTGATCGGGGTGTTATTTCAATGTTTGAAATGCAAGTAAGTTTTGTTCTTTAGCCTCTTTTCACGTATTTTTGTGGAGAATGTCATTTCTTAAGGTAGTAATCAGATGGGCTCATGCGAATGAGAGGTGGGCTGTCAAAACCGGCGTTTTAGAACTAAAAGAGCCTAAATGCTCGGTGATAGCAGATCCAGTGCTGGGCTTGGGTGGCAGTAGGTTGGTAGGTAAAATTGTAGGGATCAACCTCCTTGCTTTTTGTTGGTTTAGTTTTCGATTCAAATTTGGGATTGAATTTTAATATTGAGCGAGTCAAGTTGAAACTAGGCAGGTTGAGCAGCCCTTCCCCCACTTAGTCAAGAAAATAGAAGGCTGAATGATACTACTTTTTTAGATTGATATTGCGCTTAGAAATATTAACCCTCTAAGTTATCTATCCCTCCTTGAGAGAAATGATGCTTTGCACCCTGAAAATTGCATATAAATTCTGTAAAGCTGATGTGTTCAATTTCAGTGATGTTATAAACACATCGTGGTCATATGTACTTTCTTATCATGTCTATATACACGCATGTGATTTAATGATTTCTGGTCTCTGGTCAGATGCAAATGCCAAATGCTCAAGCAAACCAGAACATACCCCCACACCAAACTTGGGGCCCACCTCCTCAAGGTTTTCCAATGAATGCTGGTGTTGGACCTGGTTTTATGCCTAATCCTCAATACATGCCGCCTCCGCGTCAATTTGACAATTATTATCCACCAGCAGACATGCCTCCTTTGGACAAGCAGCCTCGTCAAGGACCACCTGCTTATGGAAGAGATGCATCCATGGGAGTTCATACAACTATTGCTGCACCTGCACAACAATCAGTTGTTACGAAGGTTTTATTCTTTGCTTGATCTTCTTCTTCTTCTTTTTTTTTTTTTTTTTTGGTGTATAAAGATTATAACAGAGGAAATTGCTAAATGAGGGGTTCTACAAACTCATGGGAATAACCTTTTGCGGCTAAATTGAAGCGTGTCACCTAATTGTGTTGTATGGTTCTTATCTCTCCTTTTCTGTTCATTTTTTAATAAAGAAAAGCTAAAGCACTTCTTTGACCAAATACCAAAAGCAAGTATTGATTACCAAATTATAGTTGATTGTGTGAGGGTTCAAATTACTTTGCATAATATGAATGAATAACTAATTACCAATGCCTATTTTAAGCTAAAAATGGAACCAGTCCCTTTAGAAACCCCAGAAAGGCATATGTGCATAGAAGGTTGAGGCAAAAGGGATAATATTTCAAAAATTTTGTCTAAAAGCCATCATTGTTCCAAAGGTTTTCTAAATAATATTTTCTAGGGGATAACTGTGCATTGTGCAAATTGCCCTTTACAAATCTCCAAAAAAGGCACATGTGCATAGAAGATTGAGGCCAATGGATAATTTTGCAAAATTCTTGTTTATCAAAAATCTCTGTGAAGTTAACGTTGTGCTAAAAGTTCTCTGCACAATGTTTTCGAGAAGATAATTTGTTTTAACTTGCAGTATGTGATATTACTAAGGCCTCGTTTGGAAAGTGGCTATTTTAATAATTTTTTGATTTTTTATGAAAAGATGTGCAGAAAAATAGAGAGAGTGATGTGACAACTTATGGTAACTTTTTGGCTTTTTAGTTTTTTTGGCTAAAATGTATAGTTGACAAACGAGGCCTCAATTCTTTTTGGCTGACTTTCTCTTTTCCTTTTTTTTTTCATATTTATTTTGGTTGTATTTATGCAAGTAAGGCTATCAGTTGATGAGACTAAAATGCTGTTTTGAACTGCTTTACCTGATCAAATTTGATTGGAAGACATACTGTTGAAGTTGTATTAACAACTTTATAATTTGGGGATAAAAAAGTTAAGAACCCTGCATCTTGGACTGAGTTGTTCAATAATTTGTTAGGACTATTTAATAAACTTAGGTATCAATGAGTTTTTTTTTTAATAGAATAGTTATCCTATTAACTTCTCCACAAAATTTGTTTTTGTTCATAGTAGAGTGCAAGTTAACTTCTCGAACAAATATGTGGCTTTTTGAAAGGGCAGACCCTGGCTTTGATTTACAGGTCTGTTAAATATTTACCTTTTGCCGTTTGAGTTTTCTGATTCCTTCTTGATGCCTGTGTGTGTGTCAGTATGGGGAGAAAAATAAAAAGAACTCGCAAAGCTGAAATAAGCCCTTTTTCCTTTATGTTATAACGTGACAAGTTTCATAGCTCCCACCCTGAAGGAAACTGGAACATGATAATGAAGAACATATATATCTCTGCATCCCTATGGAGTTGGAAATTGGAATGCCAGAAAATTCTTTCCTTGTTGCCCCTTGATGCTGATATTTTAAATTATTAATCTGTTGCATTGCAATGATTTCCTCTCTCTCTCTCTCTCTCTCAAATATCAATTCCTTTTTTCCTTGTGTTGAATTTGGACTTGGTTTTTATTCTATTTAGGTTTGTTGAAAGAAAGCACGTACACTTGTACGTTGCAGTGTTTGGTATTGCTTTGAATTTTATTTTTCACTGCTTCATTTAACATATAGTTCCTTTAGAAATAATGATATCAAGAAGAAAGGAACAAATTTAATTAATTTATTTTTTTTAATTTTCTAATATAAAACAAGGAAATGGAAGAAGATATTTTGATTAGAGAGTTGGCTTAAAAAGTTGTCTTTTAAGACTTAGGTAAAAAGAAGTTTGTTCATGATTTGGTGTACTTTTCTAGATATTAACTGTGGAAGGTTATATGCAATCTTTTCAATTCCATATCACTTGCAATACTTTGCATGTTTGTCTTTATTGTTCTTCTCCTATTTGCCCCTGCACCACTCTGGCAGTGGGTCAACAGTAAGAATCAAGCCTTTCAGCGCCCACCTTTGCACCATTTGTAGATGCCATGGTAGCATTTCAGCCATTGTTCTACAATAGCTTCGACTCCACTTGATTTTGTTTGATTTTGACATCAGAGGTATATCTGCATCACAGTTATTGTTTTATTTGTTCTGTAGGTCACACAGACCATGCAAATTCCTCTATCATATGCAGACGCTGTAATTGGGAACTCCGGTGCCAATATTAGCTATATACGCCGGGCCAGTGGTGCAAGCATTGCAATACAGGAAACAAGGGGTGTGCCTGGGGAGATGACTGTAGAAATAAATGGATCTGCATCACAAGTCCAAACTGCTCAACAGTTGATTCAGGTGTCCGATTCTTTTAGCACTTCTATGTGCCTGATTTTGCTTTCTTTCCCCTTGGCTTCTTTCTTGATCCTTGTGTTTGAGTGTTGTCAATAATATCTTATCTCACCCATGGTTACACTCAGATTTATTACGATGTAGGGTTGAAATGTTCTTGCCTTGGAAGGCATTTGCTATTCACTTTAGGTGTCAGACTGCATTTGTAGTATTTTTTTTTTTCATTGTTGTTATTGCTGGTTGCATATGCCTGTTATTGGAATTATTTAATAACTTGTTGTTTTGCTATTGATAATCACCAAATATTTTGTTTAGTCTTCCTTTTTGCTTGCACATGATTATAATCGTTTCTAGAATATATCCATACAATGGGAAAAATTGTAGGAAAAGTAATATCTATTAACTACTTTTAGGTATGTAGCTTATCTAAGGTCAAATTGTAGTTTTTTATACTTATCAAAATACCAAGTATGAGTTAAGCTTTCTTGTAATTTTTTGTTAATTATACATTTACTAACTAGAGTTAAGTAATTTTGTATAGATTTGAATTTTAGTTTATTGTATCAAATTTTTGTTGGTAGGAATGAAATTTGGTTGGTTTGAATAGGAGAAAAAAAGATTGGGAAACTTAAAAATTAAAGAACCATGAGCATAGACGGAAGTGTTAATTATGAAACATTACACTAGCTGTGATACTTGTCTCAAATGTCATGACTGCAAAGTATGCTTAATGCCACCCAATGTGCCCTTCTTCAAACTGATTAGTTTTTTTTTTTTTTTGTTCTAGCAAATTGATTACACATTTGTCTCTCTTTTACATGATATGCAGAATTCCCTTGCTGAAGCTGCTAGTGCCACACAGAACCCCACAGCTCCACCAACCGGCCAAGCATACAACTATCCTAGTCAAGGTCCAGTGTATGCATCTCCGCCATCTAACCCTGGTGGTCATGCCGGCCATGCTCCCACTGCAGACTATGCAGAGTATCCAGACTATGCTGCCGTCTATGGGACCAACTATGGTTATTAAAGAGGCTGACATCTTTGGCCTAGTCAGGTTGTGATGAAACATTCTGGATATTGACACGTGCTGTGCTACTGGTTCACGTGAAGAATGTAAGATGGTTCTTGGCAGTGAAGAAAATATCATAGTGAGAAATGTTCTTTATGGAAAAACTTTTGTTAATTTCTGTTTTATCACCTAGGCAGAATACTGGGCTTGAGCCAATTCAAGCCCTTTGCTTTCGACTTGTTTAATTGCTATTTGGGTTCATACCTCAAAGCTAGTAGTATGTTTCTGTTGTTTTTGTTGAATCCTATTGCCATCTATGGCTGCTGTTCTGTATGGTCAGACTGTTCGGTGACTTGTCAAAATGTTCTACGCGAATGAGTATGAGTAGTGAGAACTTTCTTAGTTTACATAATGTCGATAGCTTTTGAGTTTTTCTGCTGATGATTAGTGTGTGATAATGGGGACATTTTAGGTACTCCGAAGTGTCCAGCAGGTCTTCATCCACTTCTGTTGGGAGTAACAGATTTTGTCATTAGTTTTACTTTGGATTCATGATTCCAATCAAAAAAAAATTATAACTTATAATTAAATAGTCAATTCAAAACTCTTTTTAGAAATATTTTTCAAAATTTATAGCCAAGTTCTTTTCAAATTTCTTTTTAAAATCTTATCCTTCAAAACAAAAAAATAATAATAAGAAAATATTTTTTTAATTTTGTTTTTTGAAATTATTTTTTATTTTTTTATTTTTGAAGAAAAATATTTTTTATATTTCATATTTTAAAAAAATTTATTTATTATATTTTAAATATTTAGTTAAAGAATTTGTTATAATTTAGATGTATTGGCGGTATAATTTTTTGTATAATTTAAAAAATTAAAAATATATTTAATAAAATAAAAATGTATTAAAAAAAATAAAATAATTTAAAATAAAGAATGTATATTTAAAATATTTTTAAAAAATTATAATCTACAAATATAGAAAATACAATGCACAATAAAATAAATAAAAAATATTTATCATAAAAAATAAATGAAGAAAATTTTAAAATATTTAAAAAAAATTAATTCAAAATAATTTCAAAATACAATTTAAATTTTTTTTTAAAACTCAGGCAAATTTCATATACCTCCCTCGAGGTTTAGCTAAATTACAGATACCCTTGAGATTTCGAAAATTACAGATACCCCCTTGAGGTTTATATTTTCATAACAAATTGCCTCCTGAGGTTTATATTTTCATAACAATTGGCCCCCTAATTTGTTATGCAAATAGTACCTTTAGGGGAATATCTGTAATTTCTCAAACCTCAGGGGTATCTGTAATTTTGCTAAACCTCGAGGGAGGTATATGTAATTTGCCCTTAAAACTCATAATCAAATAAATTTTCTTTTTTCAAAAATTATTTTAAAAACTTATTTTTTAAAACATAACTCTATACTTAAATCATAATTTTAAAACTGAACTAAACTAGACAAACTTTTTTGTGATAACTGTTTTCCTTTCATTTTTCATCCTGCTTTACAAATATTAAAAATCATGAGAAATCATGATGGAAAAAAAGGGTGAGAATGTCACTTAAAACCGAATTAAATTTTTTTTCCATTCGTGGTCTAATTTTTCTTATTATCATCCATGGTAACCAAACAAGGTGTAATGTGTTGTGAAATATTTGAATAATCATTAAAAGAGATACAATTGGAATTTTAATGAGTTTTGGGTCAAAGTGAAAATAGGAGAAAGTTTTACCATGTGGGTAGTGTGATATGCCATGTGGTAAACCACATGATGGGGTGAATGGTGGTGAATAGTGAAGGATTTATCACCTATAAATAGGTGAGTTTACATAATATCGTAGAGATAGAAAAATTGTGTATTACATGCGTGATTCTTTATTTCCTCTTCCATTGTGGCTCCTTTTTCTTTATTTTCTTTAGTTTTATAATACATTATCAGCATGAGATTTTGACCAGTTGTGAAAAAAAGTAGAATCACATACAAATAAGGTTGGTGTGGTTTTTCTACAAAGTGGTTGAGGTAAGTATAAATAAATTATGAATAAATATTTTATAAGAGCGGTTCATGATAAGGCTAATTCTATATTTTTCTTAATATATTCACGCAATATTAAATATATTATTGTTGTGTTGAGTGTACAAATATGTCAAATCCTTCAAAATCAGAATTCATAAATCTTGATATTTCGAGAAATTTATTTATCTTGAATATTTGATGTTGAGATCTACCTTGAGGCAATGGATCTTGGAGATGCCATTAAAACATGAAAATGAAGTATCCTTGAAGGATCGCACAATGACAATGATATTCATTTGCTACCATCTCCAAGAAGAATTAAAATTGAATATCCCATGGTAATAAATTCACTATTTTTGTTTAATAATTTGAAGGAGAAATACAAGTACTAGAAAACTGTAATCCTTCCAAAAAAGCTCCATATAATTGATTACACATGAAGTTGTAAAATTATGAATCAATTAGTGAGTACAATCTATAGAATATGTGTTGAAATATTCACACTGATAATATGCTCTTGTAGTAGCAATATAAAGAACGTCGATCTACAAAATACTCTAAAGAACGTCGATCTACAAAATACTCTAAACTGATTTCATGCCTTCTGGCGGTTAAACAAACTACGCAACTTTTATTGAAAAGTTATCAATCCCACCTTACTGGCTCTGTTCCATTTCCTGAACAAAATGAGGTTGTATTTCATGGTCGTAAAAGAGAGAGAAGTCATGGTTTTAGACATGACTGAGGTAAAATTATAGAATTCATAGGGGACATGTTCAGAAACATTCGAGCAAAAATATCATGTCATTCATAGGAAAAAGAGAAAATTTTACATAATAAAATCTCCCAATAATGATGTGTACATGTATGCATATATTCATGTTGCATATGCATGGTGCATATAGCATGGCAAATAAATCTATTAAAAAAAAGAGTGATTATTATGCATAAATAATTATTATACATCTTTTTTCACTTGGAAGTTCACTATTCATCATTGTACATTCTTTTAACAATTTTATTAAAATACTATTCATCAACAGTATTTTACTATTGAAATCTTTTTCACTTGGATCGTCTTCCTTCTAGATAACAAGTCTCAATAAAAGAAAAAAGAAAAAGATTGCTGGTAATGAAAAAATTCACACTGATTTCTAAATATTATATTTATTTTAGTTAAGTTTTTGGAATTTAAAGTTTCCTATTTGATCATTGTTATACAGGAAAGCTACCCAAGAGGCAGTGAATTTGGTAATTAAAAACTGAACAGAAAATAAATTTTAAATAGTTAAGTGAGTAAATGTAGCAGGTAATTAATACACAGAAAATAAATGAGAGGGAGAGAAGAGCTTAAACACAAAGATTTATAGTGGTCCGGCTCACTGCCTACGTCCACTCCTCAAGATACCTCATTGAGAATTTCTTCACTATGAATCAATGCACCACCAAGCTTCACATAGCTTGTGGATTTATACAAAGGACTTACTTCAATATGTTGAGAACTTTTCAACTAAATGTCTCACTTTACAAGTGTTTCACTCAGAAAATAGGAATAGGAATAAGAGGTACAATTGTCCTCTTTTACAGATTTTTCTCTCTTAAAAGATGGATATGAAAGTGTAAGTTCACAGGTAATTTAAGACTCACTCAGATATGAAAGTGGAAATATAATGGAGTATATTAAATGCTCTTGAATGCTCTGGGTTTCTTGCATTGAAGAAGTGTGTTGATCGAACAAGGAGAGCTTCATCTTTATAGCATTAATGGCTTCTAGCTGTTGGAGAGAGGAGATTTGAATCTTCTAGCCGTTGAAGCAAATCATTGAAGATATCTTCTAGCTGTGTTTGATCAGAGTATGAATGCAGACTGTAGACAGGTCTTGGAAAGAGAAGGTTCATTAAATGCATAAGCTTTTATTTAATGCTCAACCTCATAACTCATCTTCTTGGTAGAAGATATGGTGCCAAAAGATCTGCTCAGGGGTAAAAAAAGATGACATATTCTGCACATAAATCTAAAAATGTGGCTGAGAAAAGGGCTGTGTCAGTCTAGATCTAATTTAACAGTTGGATTTTTGAAACCCAGATTTTATGGGTGTCGACCCTTGCAGAACGGGTGTCGTCCCTTTGTTTTTTTCTCTTATCTGAGTTGAGTTCCAGTTGTTCCCGGTGTCGATGTCGACCCTTGCTATTGGATTGCATTATGAAATTTAGTATCAACCCTTATTGTTCTTGGTGTCGACCCTTGCTGCTGGATTGCATACTGAAATTTAGTGTCGACCCTTGTTGCTGGATTGCATACTGAAATTTAGTGTCAACCCTTGCTGCTGGATTGCATACTGAAACTTAGTGTTGACCCTTGCTGTCTTGGTGTCGACCCTTGTAGCTAGATAGCGTTATGAAATTTAGTGTTGACCATTGCTGTCTTGGTGTCGACCCTTGCAACTGGAACACTTAGGCATTGTGATCTTTATTCTGGTTTCGACCCTTGCTATCTTGGTGTCGACCCTTAGACCTGTTTTAAGCATGGATAGAGTTTTGTAACCAAGTGCTGATCTCATGTTTTTAAAGGGCTAAAAATCATTGAAAAATAGCACTTTAGAATCATATAACTTCTAGAAACAATGAAGCACAATTTGTATACTATTATTTATGAAAATTTTGAATAACAAAATGAATTCAAAATATTTGTCAATTATCAAAATCAATACGAATTTAAATTTGAATAACCTTTGGGCTAGCAATCATATTTTGGAAATGATGATTAGCTATCTATATACATAGATTGTATTGATGTATTGACTAATTCTAAAATATTGAGTAAAATATTAATTTAGTAGACAATATCAAGACACCCATAATTCTTTGTAATGAAAAACATTTAACGATGACAAAAGCTAATGTAAAATCTCTAGTTCTGCAAACTTAATTGAAAGTTCTGAAAGAGCCAATATTATGATTGCCAAATATAATCAAATTTCATATTGATAAAGTATATTCTACTAGATCCAGAAGACACCTGTTAAGTTTTAAATATATATGTTGTATTGGTTATTGAAACCATAAATAAAGGTAAAGAAGAATATCTATATATTACTTCTACTGAAGTTGCTTGATATTCATATGAGTTGTATTATACAGCAATAAAAGCAATTGAATCACATATTGACATACACCAGAAGTGCTCCAACTTAATGCACCAGAAGTGTCATAATCCAAAAAGCGTTCATGTTAGGACATGATTACCCTGAGCATTCGGGATCTATAAGGATGTATTGAATTATTAAAAATTCAAATAGGACATCCATTAAAGAACCAGAAGATTCTTTTACTAAGAGATTATCCATCAAGTGATTATCCATGCTCTATCTGTTCATTG